ACAAAGAAACAATCAACAGATCATTATTGTTAAAAACTTTAATGTACAATGTTACTTCACTGAGGCTTTTTTTGAATCCTAACTTCAGTAAATGATCATCAATTTTGGAATTCCACACTCTTGGAGCTTGTTTTAATCCATACAAAGCCTTCTTGAGTAGATAGACTTTGCCTTCATGTCTCTTGGCAACAAAACCATCAGGTTGTTCAATGTAAATCTCCTCCTCAAGATAACCATTCAAGAAGGCAGATTTGACATCAAGTTGGTATAATTTTCCAACTTTACTGAGTTGCTAAGGCTAATAGCAGCCTTATGGTGTCCAACCTTGCAACTGGAGCAAATGTCTCTGAAAAATCAACACCAAGCTACTGGGAATAGCCTTTAGCTACCAATCTAGCTTTAAGTTTGTTGATGGAACCATCAGCATTCAACTTTGTTCTGAAAATCCATTTAACACCAATGATGTTTTTGTTGTCTGTCAACCAGCATCCATGTTTGATTTTTTTCAATCATTTGAATCTCCTCCTTCATGGCATTCCTTAAGTTTGAAAATTTGACAACTTCTTCAAAGCTTGCAGGTTCAAGAATGGCAACATTTTATCTTTGATAAATATCTGTGAGTGGTCTGATTCCTTTCACTGGTTCATGATCAATGATTTCATTTTCAAACATATAATCTTCTTGATCTTGAAAGCTTATCATGTCTGCAGCAGTTTGCTTAACTGATTCTCCCTTTAACTTTTCTCAATTCCAGGCAGCTTGCTCATTAAATCTCACATTTCTACTTACAATCATCTTGTCTGTAAGTGGATTGTAAGTCCTATAGCCTTTGGTGATGTTGCTATAGCCCAGAAAAATACATATTTTTACTTTTTGATCAAGCTTGTCCCTTTTGATATCAGGAACAAACACATAACGGATGCTACCAAAAACTCTGAGATGGTGCACTGATGGTTTGCTTCCATACCAGGCTTCGAAATGAGTGTTTCCCTTCAAAGCTTTTGTGGGTAGCCTGTTGAACAAGTAGACAGAGGTATTGACTGCCTCTGCCCAAAATTTTTTTGAAAGATTCTTCTCAAACAGCATGCATCTTGCCATCTCCATGATTGTTCTATTCTTCCTTTCACTGACTTCATTTTGTTGTGGAGTGTAAGTTGCTGTCAGTTGGTGTTCAATTCCTGTAATTTCACAAAACTCATTAAATCTGTCAGATGTGTATTCAGTACCATTATCTGACCTTATGATCTTGATTTTGCAGCCACTTTGATTCTCAATCCAAGCTTTGAACTTTCAAAATACATTTGCAACTTCAGACTTTTGTTTCATGAAATAAATCCAACACATTCTAGTAAAATCATCTATAAAAGCAATGAAATATCTACTGCCATTCAAGGACAAGGTTCTCATAGGACCACAAACATTAGTATGAACAAGTTGTAGTTTTTTAGTTGCCCTCCATGATTTGTTAATTGCAAATGGCAACTTACTTTATTTTCCTAGCTGATAGATTTCACATATTCCAGCACTGACTTCAACAGTAGGCATGTTTAATACAAGATCATTTTTATGCATGAAATTCAATGCATTGTAGTTTAAATGTCTCATCTTTTTATGCCATAAAGAAGATTTATCATGTGAAGTAGCATATGCAGATGAGTTTGCTTCATGCCAATTCAAGGAAAAACATTTTCCTTTCATATTAACAGTAAAGAGTTCATGGCCAGTGGGATTATGAATTATGCATGCCTTGTCTTTGAAAACTAAAGAGTAGTTATTTTCTAGCAACTGTCCTACACTTAACATATTTTGATCTATTTTAGGCACAAATAACACATCTGAAATGAGTTTAGTACCTGTTGGTGTCTCAACTGTCACTACTCATTTTTCTTTGACTTCTATGAAATCACCATTACCTATTCTGACTTTAGAGGTGCAGGTCTTGTCTAGTTCTTTGAACATGTTGATATCAGATGCCATATGATGTGTGCAGCCACTGTTAATAAGCCATGCACTTGAGGAGGTTCTGGTTCCATAGCAAGTTGCAACAAAAACTTGCTCTTTTAGCTATTGTTGATTGTCAGCAACTCTGGCTTGTTGATCTGGCTGCTGCTATTTTTTATTTTTACATACCTTCTCTATGTGACCAAGCTACTTACAGTACCTACATTGTATATCAGGTTTGTACCAACAATATTTCTTCAAGTGAGTGGTCTTTTTGCAGTGAGAGCAAGGCGGGAACTTTCCTTTCTTTTCATTGTTTTTAGAACCTTTGTTTCTTTGATCTCCTTATTTTCTACCTTTACTTTTTGTTTGCATCTTGCCTTTTTTCTTGGCTGTAAAAGCACCTTCTATTGAATCTTCTTGTCTGATAGCCCTTCTTTGCTCTTGAGCTTGTAAAGCATTGAACAATTCTGCTGGAGTTATCTTGGTCAGGTCTTTGGAGTCTTCAAGGGATGAGATTTTTTACTCAAACCTCTCTGGTAAGCTGACAAGAACCTTCTCTACAATTCTTTTGTCTGACAGCTCCTCACCAAGTAATCTAATCTTGTTTACTATCTTCATGAGTCTGTCACTGTACTGCTTTAAATTTTCAAACTCCTTCATCTTTAAGACTTCAAACTCTCTTCTAAAATTCAACATTTGCATTTGTCTTGTCTTGTCACTGCCTTGAAACTCTTCCATAAGCACATCCCAAGCTTGTTTTGTAGTTTCACAAGTCATGATTCTAATGAATATGTCATCAAAAACTAAAGACTCTATATAGCTTTTAGCCTTGTACCTCTTTGCTTTTTCTTCACTATAATTTTTCATTTGAGTTACTGTTGGATTTACAAGAAGTTGTGGTGGTTTCTTCTCATTTTTCACCACTTCCCACAAATCAAAAGCACTCAAATAAGTCTTCATTTTGACAGCCTATATCTGGTAGTTCTCACCAGAAAAAATAAGAGGTGGAGGTATGGAGCAATTGCTTGAGGCTATTTAAGGTTGACAAAAGCTGGCTGGTAAGTGTTTGATGACTTTTAACTCAATTTTTTGGAACTCACAGGTCCTCTAAGACCTTAAAGAAGGCTCTGATACCAATTGAAGGATTTAGAGTAGAGAAAGAAAAAAAAACAGAAGAAACTAATCTGTCACTTGAAGTAAATTGGCTCTGCAGATCATGAGCTTCATTTCATTAATATATAGGCTTTAACATACAAAAGTTTGTTTAACTACTACAATAGTTGTTTGCCTAACAGTATGGATCACCATGCATAGATCCATCATGTTACCTAAACTAATTAGATGGCAGAACCTATTACAAAAGTGCCAATAGAAATGTCATACCTAGTTGCTTCAACCACTAACACACTAACAATCTTTCATTGCCTCAAAACAATAGACAGCTTCTTCACGTTCTCTATGCTGTGCAAAAGCAGAAATGAGGGCATTCCAAGAGATTGTCCTTTTCAATCATCTCATTAAACACTCTCAAAGACCAATTTAAAATACCACATTTTGCATACATTGTAATTAGTGCATTAACTAAAGATGTTTATAAAGAAAGATCATGCCTGAGGATGTAACCATAAAGTTGTTTCCCATGACTCAAGGATGAGATGCTGACACAAACACTCATAGCAACTCAGAGTGTATATGCATTTGGCCTGAGGCCTGACATCAACAGCTTGGATAATTGCTCTAATCCCTGAGCTGGAACCGATTTAGAAAGAATCCTGATATAATAGTATTCCAGGAGATCAAGTTCTTGAGGGACATTTGAAATAGTTGGTAGGCTAGATTCATCTTCCCATGCTTAGAGTATGAAGAAACCAATGCGTTGGAAACCTGGATTCTAGAAATAAGTCCATTTTTAAACACAAGGGCATGAATCATCTCAACCATTTCTATGAATTCTGAACATGACAATAAACTACCAAAAGTGAACTCATCCGGTTCAATCCCGGACTTTTGCCTTTTTATGTAGATAAAAAACACTGATCTACCAGAGCTTCTTTGAGCGTAACTTGATACCATAGTATTCCATGACACAAGATCCTTCTCCTCCAATCTCTAAAAAACATTTTGAGCACAATTTAAATCCCGACAACTAGAGTACATAGTTATCGCTGCATTACCCACAGAGGTACACCGTTCAAACCCCATCTTAACAGCTTGTGCATATACTTGATCTCCAACTCTTCAACATGAACACAAACTCTACTCACAAAAGTCAGTTCAGGTGGGCCCAAACAAGTCTCTAACATCTCCCTAAACATTACTAACGCCTTTTCAACTCTTCCTACATTCATTAAACCATCTGTCATCACATTTAAAGTAATCCGATCTCGCACAAAACCCTCTACTTCTTCAAAAACCTGGCACGCATTTACAACATCTTCACAATTAAAATACGTAGTAATTATTGCATTAACCACAGAACCCAACTTTTCACTATAACACGCTAGCAAAGCTATAATTATCATGCTTAAAGCCCAAATAATGCATTTCCTTAAACAAACCAAATCCAAAGTCCTCATAACCATTATCCACGCACCCAATAATCATCGCATTCCAACGGCCACTTCTTTCTTAGGCATCATATCGAACACCTTGCAAGCATAAGAAATTTCCCCCAGCTTGATACATGAAAATAACAACGTAGTCCAAGAATAAACATCTGGGTCTCTAATTTCATTAAAAACCTTTTTAACGGAAACTAAATTATGGGTCTTTGAATAGAGAAAAAGTAGCGTGTTGCAGAGATGAGAATAGGCTTTGAAGCCGGATTTGATGGCCTAGGTGTGGAGTTTAGTGCCAAACTTGAGGCTAGGGAGATTGCCACGGGCTTTGAGAGTGGTGGAGAGAGTGTAGTGGTCGGGTTTAATGTTGCAGTAGAGACAGTGAATTTCGTCGAATTGATTGAGGGCACCTTGGTAGTGAGTTGAGCGAATGAGATTTGCTATGTGAGAGTTGAGCTTGATCAGCTGTTGTTGGTTAAAGCAAGTTTCAGTTATGGTAGTTAACCTTTGCTATTCTTAATTTGTATTACCCTCCCAAGTAGTTGCCTCATTTAAGCAATACATGAAGAACACACTGCACCTGCATAAATTGTTTGACTTGTGTGTTTTCCTTGTCATATTTTGGTCCTGCCTTCAGATATCTTTCTTATATGAAGATTATTGTGGTGTTTTATGAACAATCTCTGTAGAAAAATAATACCTTTCTGATCAGTAACTTTTTCCATCCAGGAACTTGTTACTCCCCATGTTGATGATGCAACTCTTTGACCAGTTTGCTGAGGTCCAACGTGAATATGTATATGTTCCTGAAACAGCCCAACAAGGTGGCTGAGGCTTTGCAAACCCTCTTTCATCAGCGTCATCATTCAAGATGGAAAAAAACTGGTATTCTGCTATTTTCAAGTACATATATTGTTCTTAAATTCACTAATTTTACATGCCAAACTTTAGTAGTCATCATAATTTGCAAACAATGAATAATAGAATTCAAAATTCTTCCTTTCAATATTCAAATCTGCCCATCATGTTATGCATAATGAAATCCTTCTTCCTTTATGTAGGTTTGTGCTTTACTGTTGTTTGATTCGTGTATGAAGATATCATTAACTTTCATGACGATGATCTGTCTCATCGAAGATCTCCTCCTGCATGGGCAAAATAGTGGGTCATCAATATTATTTTTTTTCTCCTTTGAGATTCGATGGAGGAAAGTTCACTAGAAACAAGTTTATTCAACTTACTTGCAAAAGCTCTTCAATGACATCTTCCAGCGTTATTATGCCAGTAGCTTCCCCCTCCCCAGTGGTCACAAGGAGTGAATCATCATTGATTTGCAGTATTACTGAGTGGAAGTCCCTTGTCCATTTCTTGCTTTGGAAGGATGCTTTCTGCGAATTTCCATCTAAACTCTTCCACTTCTTGAGTGTTCTTTTGCTTGGTAAACACGTCCCTGGTTGGTGCTTTTCACCATCGATGTCCACCTTCACATCTCTGTCCGGGTGTTCATTGGCTGACTGCTCCGTTTTATTGTTCTGCTTTACAACAACAGCCATATGGCTGTGACCTTTCTGAAACTCATTTAGTATGTCATATAAAGGCATTGTCTCAGGAACCCTAGCACACACAACACAAAATATTAAAGGAAATCTTAACGTGACCTTCACCTTGTGCTTGGTTTAGCAGATACCAGTCTTATTACTTCCATTATATTTTGGATATTTAATCAATGAAAGCCATAGATGTCCAAGACTGGTGCATGCAGACCAGTTGGATGATAATTTCTTCATAATTCAGGTTAGTGCATATAATGGACTTTTAGCAGGTAACTCAGGAACATTTGGACATCACAATTTTAGGTTCTGGTTATGGAAAAACATTCCTTCAGTAGTTAGGTTTCTATCACTCATACTTCCACAAACATTATCCTATTAAACATATCTTACTCCTTGTATATGCGTAACTCAGAATAAGTAAATTACCTTGGAATCCTGCGGATGGTGATGTTTTTTACTGGCACCTCATCTGCTGGATGGATGTTTAATAAGTTCTTCACCTAGTATTAAAACTACATCATTAGTGACTTTTGACAATTTCACACTGGAAATCATTTTAATTGGACTGATGAGCAGAAAAGATGACAGCAAGAGGCTTGATCATTTTTCAAGCCCACTGAATAAGTGAAAACATCGAAATAATAAAATGCTGAATAAATCAATGAAAATTACCAAAATAAGTCCAATTATGTTCTCTAAACGCTCATGGTAAACAGGTACCCTGCTATGCCCTTTCTCCAGAATTAACCTCATCAAATCCCTGCAGGTCAAATAGTAGTTAATGTATCAAGTAAATGCAACTTGATTTTCTTTATCAATACTCTTCTTACCTGTTCAATTTAGCATTGATATTGATTGCAAAAGTTTCTGATATAGGAGTCATTGCGTCCATTGCTGTTTTCTCACTTAGTTCAAGTGCTCCTGCTATGATCGTTGTCTCATCACGTGTCAATTCTCCACCTTTGCCAGCCTACAAAAATGTCAGAATGTGTAGCTTTGCTACTATTAATTGATGCGGTTTATAATTAAGGAATTCATCATACCTCATTACCATGCAAATCAACAAGCGTTTTCAACTCAGCACGGCGGAAAAGAGCCTCATGCCCTTGCCCCAGGAGAAGGTCTAGCAGCTAATAAAAACAGAAGCAGCAGTCAGACATAGCTTGTCGAGAGCAGAACTTAAGGTGAGAAGGCTATTCAAACGAATTTTCACCTTGCTTATTGGATATGCAACTGGAAAACAAATCCAAACAAGAATTTGAACAAACGGAGCAACTTTTGCACCAATTGCCAAACCATATCGGGTACAAACTGCTTGGGGAACAATCTGAATTTTAAAGAGAATAAAGCGATAGGTAATTGTACAAAACTGAAAAGAGAACATTTTTTAACTGAAGAAAAGCTCAGACATGCCTAAACATGAGACTGAGAACCTGAAAGTGAAACTAACCTCACCAAACATAAGTACCAGGGTCACTGAAATAAGAATAGCACCCCAAGCTGATATCAAGCCGTCCAGAAAGACTGGAAGGGCCTGTAAAACCAATAAAATTCCCACTGTGAGTGACAAAACTAGATAGAACATGAAACTCCTCCAAGTGTTCTTAACTTCTTACCTCCATCGCTGCAGCATTGCAGATTAATAGAGTGCACAGAAGTAAATGTTGTCTTCTAACGACTGGAAGTATCTTTGCTGTCATAAACCAATAAAAATCACGACAAATGGAACTCATTTAAAGAAGAAGAAGCAATTTATTTACAAAACAAAAAAGAGGGTATAGAAGATCTTTACTGGCATGTTTACTATCGCTTGGAGTTCCAGACTTAGCAAGAACTTCAAGATCAACAAGGCTCAAAGACATGAGCCCCATCGTAAGTCCAGACATCAACCCAGCAAACAACACGAGACCCGCAACTATAACGATCCGTATAAAGAACCCTGTTTCGCAGCAATGATACTCCGCTGCCATTTGCTGCCTTTCTTTGCTCTCTGTGTTTACCTATTTGTTATCTGATAAGAATTTCTTATGAGCTAACAACATTAGCATACAATGTACATAGCCAACAAAGTTTACATTAATGAACTTATTCGACAGATAATGACAGAATAAAATTAAGATTCTACTTTCTTCTGTATACCATGTCAAGTGTCAATGTATGGCACTTCAACTTTTTTCTTCTTTTTGCTTCCTTCGAGAGGAAGGAGAGATCGAAGTGTGATCAATACAACAATGTGAAACAGGTGTTTTGTCTGTTTGGCCACTGGAACACCAAACTCTTTCAAGTTCTGTTACACCCTGCCAAGTTCTGCCAACTATTCTGTCACATATGATTGATCACATGTAAAATATAACCCTGATACGCACAATTTTTTCTCTCCTCTCCCCCCCCCCCCCCTCCTTTCTTGTTCTATAAATCTAGGGTCGTTGCAAGCCTTTAAGGTTTATTTTATTTTATTTTTTGTTAGGAGAAAATAAAAATTCAACCCTTATCCTCACTTCCTTACTACTTCAAGGTATTTATTCATACATGAAAAAGTTGTAAATGCAAAGATCATTCTTTAGGAATAAGTATAACTTGCAAAGGCTACTTAGCCTATGGAGATGCTTAAAGGGTTTTTTTTTTTTTTTTTCATCCCACTGTTTTTTTTCTTCTTTTCTTTTATTCCTTTGCATAACGCCACAATAAAGGAGCTTTGATTATTTGCTAAAAGGGTAGTGCCGCTATATTAAGTCTAGGTTAACTAGAAAATCCATACCATGACTCATTAGAACTTGTTTTCTTATTAACCAGAAAAAAAAAAGGAAAAGAAAATTAATAGAAACCCTTTGAGAAGCTTGTTTAGTTTCAAGGGAAGGGTCTTGAATTTGATAATACTAAGATTTGATGTTGGGTTCTTGACTTATATAAAATGCAAAGAATGGGATTTTCACAACATTTAATTTAGTTTCTAGATTCATATCTTGTCTTGCGTAAATTATAAGCTCTTTCTGGTGCAAGACATCAAAGGATCCACTCGGATTGTAGCCTGTCATGCCAGCTAGGAAATGCAATAAAAAAAGGTAAGGGTGGCTGGGAATATGACCCGCAATTTGATTAAAATTGGCCAACATTTGTTCTGGCATCTCGTTTTCACCAGTGAAAAACATGACTTATGGATTTGATGACAGTATTCTAAGACACAACTTGTTGGAAGTGAATTTTCTGTGCCATCGCATTTCATATTGCTTCAAGAGAAATTTTCATCTCTCCAAATATCTATGATGGTATAGTATTAAAAATTTTAATTGTAGTAATTAGAATTCAAAATTTGACAATTTTAAATATAAAAAAAATTATAAATTTAATTAATAATTTAATAATATTAATCAACAATAACAGGATATAAAATGTTAGATTTTAAATTTTACGTATGTAAAACAAAAAAAAATGGTGGAGCATTATATTTAAATAATTATATGAAGTAATGGGCTCAAACCATAATCCGAGCCCAATAGTATTAAGGGGCTTTCAAGTCTAAATGGGGCTAGACTTTCTGAAATACAAGGTTTAAGAAGCAACTTATTGGGCCTCCGAAGTTCAATGAGGCCCGTGATATGCAATGGTGTTTTGCTTTCAAATATATTAGTAATTAAACTTATTTAAAGATTGGTTTATTCATCTAAATTTAAAAATTTGTTTATGTTTTAAGAGGCTTTAGATAAACAATTAAAGTTTATTAAACGGATTTAAATATAATTTTTAAGTTCATTTAAATTTCAGATTGGATTTTGAATAAAAGAATTAAAAATTGAATTGATTTAGATCTGATTTAAATATATTATATATAATTAATATTCATTTAAATTTAAAGACTTTTTTAAATTTAAAAGGATTTAAATAAAAAATTAAAATTTATTAAACAGATTTAAGTTTATTTAAATTTTAGATTGAATTTTGAATAAAGAAATTAAAGTCTAAGTTGATTCAGATCCAAATATATTATATATAATTAAAATATTATAATTATATAAGTATACATATATATATATATATGAAAATTTTTATTTTTTAAAAAATTATTTAATTTTTTATTATATAAATAAAATTTAATCGACGAGTTTAAATTTATTTTTTAATTCAAAAAAAAAAATTGCTGTGGACACCTCTACTGTAGTATTTAAAAAAAAAAAAAAACACCAAAGTTTTAAATCCCAACCGAATTGAGGGGTTTAGAAGGAAAAAAAAAAAAAAAAAGCGAAAACAAAGGCCAAAAACCACTCGATGGCGACGTTCATAGATCTATGATCCAAAATCCAAACGCCCATTTCCCATTTCTTCATCTAAGGTGAACTTTCCCTTCTCTCTCTTCTCCTTCCTTTAGATCTCTTTTTCTTTCATCATTACCTCCATTTCGTCTTATATTCATAGCTTCTTCATGCTTTGGATCTGTTTTTCATTTCTCATTTTGATTATTTGGCAATGAATTTTAATGTTTATTCTCTCCATGAAGAAGCTAAAATTTTTGTTAATCTGTTGTTTGTCTGGTACAGTTCAAATAATAACAACAAAGTTTTAAAACGGAGTAGCAACCAACCATGTCAAGGAGGCAAGTAACTTCCACGCGCCGATATGTCGACAGCGGAAACTTTCCGTTTGCTGGTGCCTTGCATTCCAAATCCCGATCTTCTCCCATTTTATCTATCGGTCTTGTCGTTGTGGTACATCTATCTTTCTTTTTTTTTTCAATTTTTTTGTTACTTCTATATAAGGAAATTAAGTGAGGTAGTAAATTCTTGTTCTGGAAATAACTTTCAGGGAGCTTTCCTTCTTATTGGCTATGCCTATAGTGGCTCAGGTAATTTTAATTTTGTTCGGATTTTCTTATTTAGGTTTGGTTGCTTTGTTGTTCAATATTCTGTATCTTATTAGTTCAATTAATTGCCACTGTTGTTTTTGGGGGAATACAGGTAAACTACGAGGTGAAGCAGTTAGTCGGATTGAAGGTAAATCTTATTTTATTTTGTTTATGAAGTTACTGTTTTTTATTTGATTCTTTCGAATTCTGAGTATGTTATTGTAATGTCTCTTTAGAACTACTTAAATGCTTAGCAGATTCAGTAATGCTATGTTTGGGATAGTGGATTTGGGTTTGGTTTATCGTATAAATTGTGAGGATGAATGCACACATTATGTAAAAGTTAGTTAAGATTTAATACACCAATGTTTCTATGAGGGTATAAAGAAGATAAATTTTAGATTCTCTATTTCCCGATGCATCCGTAAGTAATCCATGCATTTGAAAATAATTATAAAACTTGGGTTTTCATTTGTTTTATTACACAATTGATACTAAATTTGAAATCCATATCCACTCTCCCAAATTTAAGTTCCCAAATGCAACCTTAACAGGTTGGAGAACAAATTAAGTTGTTTTAGCTTGTGTATAAGATCCAAATTCAATGGAGACAATATTTTGGAAACAGATTTGATCTTAGAGGCCTTGATTATGCATTTCATTGTAGTCTGGCTTACGTTCCTTTGATACTTATACCATACAATCAGGGGCGAAGCCATGGGGTGCAACCCCCCCCCCAAAAAAAAAAAAAAAAGTTTTCACCTCTCTTACGTAACAGTGCCCAGGCTCACCAAAATATTACTTTGCCCCCCAACTTCCCCTTTGAAATTACTATTTGGCACCCCCTTTACCCAATTCCTGTTGCGATGATCTTTTCCTTAAGTGCTTCTTAGAGGAAGAAAAGTTGAAACATAAGGCAGGACCCAAAAACTTAGTTCCTCCATTGTTTCATTTAATTGTGGCCTGAGGAATAAAATTGTATATCAGTGGTGGTTACATTAGATAGATAGGTTTTGCATGTCCTGTAATAAGTGGAACACTTAAAGTGTGTAGTTATAATGCAATTGCCATGCTTTGGAAAGTATATTCCAAAAATCAATTAATTTCTTGTTATTTTGTAGGTGACTATTCATGCACTCTAGACGTTCAGAGGGCAATACCATTTTTAAAGAAGGCATATGGTGACAGCATGCATAAAGTTTTGCATGTAGGCCCTGATACCTGTTCAGTGGTCTCTAAACTTTTGAAAGAGGAGGAAACTGAAGCCTGGGGTGTGGAACCATATGACATAGAGGATGCTGAAGCAAATTGCAAGAGTCTTGTGCGCAAAGGCATTGTACGTGTGGCAGATATCAAGTTCCCTCTTCCCTATAGGCCAAAGTCATTTTCTCTTGTTATTGTGTCAGATGCCCTTGATTACTTGTCTCCAAAGTACCTCAACAAGACTCTTCCTGAGTTGGCAAGGGTGGCGTCTGATGGTCTCGTTATTTTCGCTGGTAATCCTTTACTGTTTTAAGTTGCATATAAATTATAAAATAGGAGTTACTTAAGTAGAGAAAGTGCTTATATACAGATAAATTTGCTTATGAAGACAGTTTTTTCATAGATGAAAATTTGTTTCTAATGTAATTACAGAATTACATCTCTGTCTGTCTAACAATGCATCAGCAACCTCCATGGCCTTCCAAATAAAGTTAATATGTTAAAATCCTTTTATTTTTCTCGGGTTTCTTTTTCTGCCATGCCTGTTAGCACACCATTCAGACACCTTTCCTGATAGCTCTAAATGTATATGAATTATTTGTATAATAAGGTAGATGCAAGACAATTCTACACTATACTAGCAATTAATTTTCAGTCTGGAGCAGTATTACCATTTAGAACACTTTCCTAAAGGCTATAGTTGCAGCTGTCAGTTATTTTTAGATAGATGTCGTACAGACTCTCTTGGTTTTCTTTGTCAATCTGTGAGATCACAGCATTTCTCCTCTCTAGATATTTTGATCCCTTATTTTGGTTTATTTGAATTTTAACTGCTTTCATTTTGTTTTTTTAGGTTATCCTGGTCATCAGAGGGCTAAAGTTGCAGAATTATCCAAATTTGGGAGGCCGGTTAGTCTCTATCTACTAATTATAACAATGAGATTTGGTATTGAAATAGGCCATAGTACATCTTTTAACTTTCATTTGATTAAAATTGCGGCACTGCATTTTTAGTTCAGTGAATCTTTGTTTCTGAATTATCACTTAGCACAAACATTAATGTCCTGAGTTGACCTTATCGTTGACATATATGTTTCACTTGTGAAGGCTAAAATGCGGAGTTCATCTTGGTGGATTCGCTTTTTTGTCCAGACTAGTTTAGAAGAAAATGAAGCTGCCATTAAGAAGTTTGAGCAAGCTGCATCAAAGAGGTCATACCAGCCTGCTTGTCAAGTGTTCCACCTCAGTCCATACCACTGAAACAAGAGAATTCATCAAGACCAGATTTTCATTAGTTCTGTTTGTCATGCATTGAAGGCGAAGTACAAAAATCTT